TATATATATATATATATATATCATTGATTACTTGTGGAAGTCTTTGTATTAAGACAGCTTTCCATCATATCTTTCACTGAATATAAAAGTACCTCATTTTGCAGTGCCAAAAACAAGGAACCTTCAGGAAAAGTCTGAAAGATAATGCTAATTTGAGTGTATTGATCAAAAGAATAATTTCTATCAAGAGGTAATGAAATAAATGTATAGTGAATGTATTAACACTAGACAAAAAGTGAAGCGAGGGCAGGAAACACTGAGAAATTTTATTTTAAATGGACTGCCAAGTGTAGTAGTTACATCATTTCAGAAGATATATAAAAGTGTAGGGGTGGAGTCCAGCCTGTCAGTCAGGTCACAGACTGATGGCACCTCCTCACGGGGGTGGCCTTCTCCTAAGGAGGGCCCTGGGAACCTCCCCCACCACCAGCCCCACCTTCATCTCCCTGCTGTTGGAGCCTCGTTGGTTGTTTGCCAGGGCCTGAGAGATAAATCCATTGCCACTGGATCCATGGGAGTTTGCACCCAATGGCAAGGTGATATCCCTGCATTCCACATCATTGCATGTGACTGCATGAGTCTAAAGAGGGGCTCATGGGCTGGCATCAGATTTGTGGACCTCAGTTTTCCTGACAGACAATTACTTCTAGATAGAAAGCTACTTCTTACACATACCTGAGTGTCCACGGAGTGCTCTCTAGTCAACCGTCCTCACACACCAAACCTACAGCGACCCTTACCTTGCATTCCACCACACTCTGGTCTGATTCACAGGTGACGTAGATTTCATCCACTGCCCGCCGCAGATTGTCAAAAAGAAATGCCCAATAGCGCGCTCTGAGATCGATTTTCCGGGGGTGCCTGGTTTTGGTGGGGCTCTTATCAAAGTGCTTCTCTCCGGTCGTAGATGGCGTCACTTTACAGTCAATGGCGGGGTTCTGGCAGAATGAAATAAAACGTAAGTAAAAGACCTCCAAGGGTTGGATTTTTGTATACAAGTGTGTTTTTTCCAACAAAAATATTTTCAAACAAGATGTTCTTCTTTTCAGCTTACATCACATCACAGAGTTTATCAAAACAAAGCTTCTCACCTTAAACAAAAGGGGTGGGGTGGGGTGGGTGAGTATGAACAGTTAGTTTGAAGTGTGGGCACAATTGACGGAAGATTAGGGCGGTGTCCATGGTGACAGGCCCTTAGTTCAAAAGGCACAGGACCATCGTTCCTGATTGACTCAAACACATGGAGGGCACATTACATACCAGGGGGCTTCAAAAACTGCATGGAAAAATCCAATGATCTTTTTCATTTCAATTTTCCACAAACTTCTTGAAGACCCCCCTCCATCTATTCACAAATAATAGCAACTCCAATGTTTTAGAATTGCTCACACAGATCTACTTTTCACTTAGCAAAGCCATATATTATAGTTATACTCAGTTACAGTTACTGGATTGTACCTTAAGCCATTTTCCCCCTAAAAGTCAAAGTTCATACACAGTTAGGAAACAATTTACTAAGAAAGAACACTGAAAAAACAAAACTAAACACTAGCTTCAAAACCAACTCATCAAATACCATGATCCACTTTGAAAATAACAACATCTTATGCTGCAAAGCTTTGTAGACTGTGCCCTCCATGCAGTCCAGCAAAAGCACAAGCATGCATGCCACTACTGGGAAAAGCTAAATGCAAAACACAAGCCAGAAGCTTTTCCCTAGAAGCAAAAAGGAGCTGTTTGTCTTAAAACAGCAAAGACAATGGAGGACACTGTTCTTTTAAATAAAGTATTATCCTAATCCTACATTTAGTGCAACAAACAATCCTAAGTTTGTTTGGGGTTTTTGTCATTTTTGTTTGTTGTTTGGGTTTTTCTTTTGAAAAGTGGAGAAAACCTAAAGTACCTTTTAAATATTGTAGATATATTTGAATATCTAAAATACTTTCACTGTTTTGTTTTCGGGATCACTTAATCTTTTCAATATAAGTTTTCATTATAACACTGATTCCCACACTTGCTCAGTTTTTTTATAGCTAGGAGCCCGGTGGCATAGGTTATGCACTGGGCTATGAATCATTAGTTCAGCAGTTTGAAACCACCAACTGCTTCTTGGGAGAAAGATGAGGCTTTCTACTCCCGTCAAGAGTTACAGTCC